TGAGTTTCTTTAACATTCTCTTTCGATCATTGGGTTCCTACTCGGTTTTTTTGGCATTTTGAACATTGCTGGTTGTGGACTCAGCCTCTTCTTTCTTTTTTCCCCTTTTCTGTTCCAGAGCTATTTTCACTCGGGCCTCCTTTATCATTTCTCTTTGAAATTGCTCTAGTGCCTATTCTTTCTTAGTCAAAGGTGCAGCCTCAGCCTTGCCCCTAACAATGATTTCCTCTTCCGTCCCAGTCTCTCCTGTCTATTCCTCTACATCAGACTCTTCCTCACTTAACCATCCATTACTTGTTTCTAGCTGGCTCAGGTCCCACCATCTCATCTGCACAAAGCTCGTATCTTCTTCCTCGAAGAAGTAAAGATCCTCTAGATCCTCTTCCAATTCTGCTACACCCTCCTCTAGGTTTACTAAGTCATTCAGGCCTTGCTCGGGCCACTCATTCTGATTCTGCGCCATTTGGTCTTCCTCAATAGCATTAATGCTGAGAAAGTCTGGCAGCATGACCACTAGCTTCGGCTAATCGATGGCCACAATATATAAACTGGGATCGTACTCCTCTGCGAGCGAGACCCCTTTTTCTATGACATGGGTATCAGATGACCCTATCTTCAGTGCATTATTCTCTTTCTCCACTTCTACTACCATGGGCTTGGATTGGGTTTGTGGTGTTCGATCCATCATGCACATGTCTATGCTTTCTGGAATGACCACCTCCGGCTTTGGTAGGTGGAATGAAGTAATGTATGTGTTAGGATTGAAGGTGGGCGGTAGTGTATGGATGTGGTTAATTTTTCTGGACGGGGGGACTTGATTGTGTGTTAGAAGTGGATCGGTTGTTACGTTGGGTTTGGAAGGTAGGGCGATGACTTTGTTGTTAATAAGATCCTGGATCTCATGATGTAGACGGTAGCACATGTCCGTAAGATGGCCATGTTGTTAGTGAAAGATACAATACTGGGTAGGGTCATGTTTGGATGGCAATGGGTTTAGAAGTGGACAAGGATCAAGAGGCTTGAGATGCCCCTTTTGCATTAATAGCTTGAGGGTGTGGATTGGACTCATATGGAGGGGAGTAAAAACTCTTCAATTCCGGGGTGCACCGGTGTTTTATGAAGGTTGTGAGGTTGTGACAGTAGCAAAAGGATCATCCATCTTGGCCGTTGAAACAACAGTACTAACATCCGCATGCCGTGAAATAGTGCTACTGCTAGCATTGGTATTCCGAGAGAATGGCCTTCTTATGGGTTCACTTGTTCTGTGGATAATGCCCTTTTTGAATGCACTCTCGATTTGGACCCTCGGCTCATGTAAGGAAGCAAATGTGGACAACAGAGCCACTATCATTCTCTACAACATGTCTGGCTCAAGATTCTAGTCCACCAGTCGGACTTTCTCTCTCTTGGCAGGCCTATTCGTCATTCGGGCCGCCTTGGCTCTCCACTAGGTGACAAAATCAATGAATGATTCTTTGGGGTTCTGGTAGAAGCCTCCAGCTCACTAATTGTTACTTCTATCTGGGTGTTATATGAGTACTAGTTGACAAACGCCTCAGATTGCTCCTCCCAATTCCGCTTTGTAGAGTCCTTCAATTTAACGTACCAGATGGCTGTCATATCAGACAGGGTTCTCCAAAACAAGGAAAGCTTCTATGCCCAAGACAAACCCATGGGACTCAATACGTCTGAAAACAGCCAGACGTGCACAACCAGATCCCCACTCCCATCGAATTTGTCTATGTGGGGCATCTTGAATTTCTTCGGTAATCTGACCGAAGCTTCAGTGTACCCATCTTCGGTATCTGGAATAGAGTTGAAGCCTTGGATTTCTTTAATGCTTTCTCCAATCTAGCAATCTTAACTAAGGTTAGATTAATTTTATTAATATCAAAAGGAAAGATTCCTGCGAAAGGTTGAACCGGAGGCCTATAAGCTGTGGCCGAGGAAAACATGTCCTAAGGATCCGGAACTGGCAGATTTTTAACCGATGGGGATAGATCCGAGTTTGGCTGAGCAGCCGAGATCGGATGCACATTTGATGCGGATGCCCCAGCTGTACACCATAGAGCGGCAATAATCTCATCTTGTGTAGCCATCCTCTAGTTTACAGTGTCCATGGTTCTTTGGAAAGCCGTCATCATGGCAGCAAATTCCTCCGCATTCTATGCTATATTCTGTGCCATTGCTGGTTTGGGTGAACTAGATGCTGGTGAACTGATTGATTGAGAATGTGTAAGTGTTTGCGGAGTGCTCTGTACTGATACTACTGACTATCTATTCCTTCTTCGTCGGGTAACTGGCAGAAGCGAAACTAACACGGGCTGACCACTAACAAGGTCTTGAGCTTTACAAAGCCTGTCAAAGTGAGTCCACATAACTTGGGGAATATCAGGTCTTTCTAAAGCTAGGATGGTAAACTACCTAGCAAAAAAAAGAAAGAAAAACAAAATCAAAACTTGGATAGCACTTCGACCCCAATTCACAATAGTCATAACACATGGCCGAACGATAATCCCCACTGAACTCTGTTCTCAAACTCATACTGATATGAACTATCCTACACAGTTTCACTAAAAAGGCACATATCAAATAAAAGAACCAAAACACCCCTATGAGGGGGATAGGGTTACCCTGTCCTAGATTTTGGCATGATCTAGGCTGCACTATTTCAAACAATGAGTTTCACAACATCCTGCAAATGAGTGGCATCCTGTCCTAAGTTGGAATAGTCACTATAACTTCACTAAATGCAACTAGTTCGAATAGTCAAAAAGGTACCTCGGCAAGATTACCTAATATACCTCTTAAACCTAACACCGAGAAGTGAAATGTGGATCAAGCGGTACAATAGTAATCTAGATCCAAGGGTTAAGTTTCCAACATAGCAGAGCCCATGACCGGTCAGTCTTTTGGCAAGCTTTTGGGCAAGCCTCAGGCAAACCGTCTAGGAATAGCAGATGGCAAACACAGTGACTTAGGCACACCAATGCAAAATTCAATGCAAAAAAAACATATAACTGTAGAAAAAATTTCACATCATGAAGTTCAAGTCAAGTTCTCTAAGTCCCCAACAGAGTCGCCAGAAACTGTAGCTCGACTTTTTGTGCCCCCTTTCAGAAGACGAATAAGCCCTACAATTCAGACTCTACTTGTGGTTCTGAATCTGGTTTCACAAGTGCAATGTAAAATAGTCAAAACACAAAAGAGTCCAAATTCGGCAACTGTTTTTGAAAATTTGATGTTTTGAATAAAATGCCAAATATGGACTGCTTTGCTAGATTTCAAAGTCGCCACCTAAATATTTTTGAAAAATTTAGGAAACCCAAGACTCGTACCAAAGGCCAATAGTCCGTCATCACCAAAGTTGCCACGGCATGGGAACTTAGGTACGAGAGGGGAAGGTCATGAATTGAGCACCCCCCTCGTACGATCAAAGATCGGCCTCTACTATTCATGATGTGATTCTTATTTACATTGTATGCTCTTGTTCTGGTTATTAGGCTAACTTTACTATGTGTTGCCCACAAGTATAGACTAATTTTGCAAGAATTGGAACATTTGATTTCATGCTTTGTTTGCAAAAAAGTTTGTGAATGTATCACTTGAAAAAGTGATTAAATATGTACATTACTCAAATTGTTTCAATTCAAGCAATTAGCCTTCATCCACAGGCATTCAAAACAGTTTATCAGATAAGCACTTAGCCTCATGGCAAGTATGTTAAACATGGCAACAATCACACGCATGCGATATACTAAAGCAAGTAAAGGCTCACCTAGTACTCCAAGCCAAAAAAGATAAAAGAGTTAGAAAAATGCATGATCCTAACTATGCAACATGACTAATGCAACACATGTGATATGCAATTACTAAGCTCGGCTACTAATATGGCATGTAAATCAATTTGATAACAAGTGGTTTAAGCACCTTTGTATTAACTAACAATGCAAGTTAGAATGATGCACAGAGCCTCGGTGCATGCAAGACAATGGATGCAAGGCATGAGAGATGCTAAACAAAACATGATGCCCTAAACTAACCATCATAAGCAGTTAAATAAAGGGAAGAAACACGTGGGGTTGAAAGCCAAACACGTTATTACAACATTGCGCCCTCACGCAAGGGGGTCCGAATAAACTAACTAGCTAAGCAAATTACTTCGAATTACAAAACGAATGAAATAATCAACTAAACTAGCTAACTAATTATTACACCAAATTAACTAACTAATTGAACTATCTAATTAATTAATTACAAATCAAAACGAAATAATTAATTACAAATTAACTAATTAAACAAGGAAGAAGTACTAAACTAGCTATTCTAATTACTCTGCCTCGGGAAACAAGGAATGCTCATGCATACGTGGATTTCCACCTAAAAAAGGCCACTGCTTCGATGCTAGATGCATGTGTTGCACAGTAGGACACTTGCGCTAATTTTCACCTCAAAACCAATTTTGTTTTTCCAGAAAAAGTACACTGCTGGATTTTGCAAAGGTGGCCGGCCGGCCACAGATAAGGAATGTTTGGTTTTTCCTAATGCAACCGAGAGCAAATAGAGCAAGCACGGGGTATTCTCAATGGTTTGTTTGCATAACTTACCTATCCTTATCATCAAACAGCTCAAAGAAGTAGTAAATTTGATTCACAAACCATCAATGGATGCAATTTCAGTGCATGATGGCCTATGAATCAAAGTGTGCAAGTTCAATAAATGCAACAAATAAAGATTCAAACCTCCTCCCTATCATGGATTGATCAAGGGAAGCGGTTGACAATGACTCTTGAACCGTTTTCTTCACTAACAAGTATGAAACGATTTAAGTCTCAAGGATTCAATTAGCGTCTGATTGAACCCAAGTTGATTATTATCTTGTATCATTTTAGTCCAAGTTTTATTATTCCATTTTAATTACCTTTCCATTCTTTGATTCATTAAGTCCAAAGGTGAACTTCAAGTCCTCTAATGGAAAGAAACACCAAACCAAGAGTTGTTTTAGGCATGAGAGAAGTGTCATGCCGTTGGTAATGAAACCCCAAAGAGATTAAACCATTAAGCATAAGACCTCAATCTCATGCTTCAAATAAGTAACTAGTTTGAGCCAACTTTCAAAGCAAAGTAGAAGCCAAGAAAAGAAGGAGGTTGCAGAAGTGATTAAAAGTGATCACAAGTATGGAAAGTCATAAAAAAATACTATCAACTCAAATAGGATGGTAGTTAAGGCCTAAACCACCAAACCTATGAGGACTATTACACTATAAGCATGCAATATTAAGCTCAAATATAATGAACACTCAAAAATAGTCCTAAAATAATGCTAAATAAGTCCTAAAACATGCTGGAATTAAGACAATTAGCTAGAATAATAAGCTAAAACATAGAGCATGCTAGGCTAGTAAACAAGACACAAGAAGGGAAGGGTAACCCCTCCAATTTTGGGCTTCAAAACAACATTTTGGCCACTGAAATAACTCTAAATATCAGTGTTTAAAAGCTCAAAAAAAGATAGTGTAAAGGTGGGAAACACAAGGGTAAAGGCTAGAAGAGCAAGGTAGAAAGAATGGTGAACCAACCCTCCACCCTTTAAGGCCTTAAACCACAAGATTCAGCCCAAAAAATACAGAGTTTATACAGCCCAAAAAATAGAGTTTATACAGCCCAAAAACAGTCAAAAAATAAGCAACTAAAGCAATAAGACAAGTAAAGCCTTATATCTCTTGAAGAGAAGACCAATTTTAAGCAATAATTCAACACATACACACCCTCAAGAGCTCAAGATAGGCACAAAAGTACCTCAGTTCAAAGATGGCAAGGTTTGGTGAAGAGTGTATAGGCAAAGCTCATGAAATTTCAAAAGAGAGAGAGAATTGTAGAAAGAGAAAATTAATTTTGCTCGAATTTTTCTAACCCTCAAAAATGGGAGAAGAGGTCCTATATTTATAGAAAAATAGGCCACTCCCTCAAAAATATCCATCCATACATGTGGGAGCATATGAAAGCATCTGTGCAAACAGCTGGCGCAGCCGTCATAAAATATCTGCAAAATACAATTGTGGCCGGCAGGCCACCAATTCTGGCTGACAAGACACAAAGGTGGCTGGCAGCCCACAAAAATGGGCCTGCAAGTCCCAAGCTTTTCAGGTTTGAAAGGTTGAGGTTTTAGTGCAAAAACAAGGCACAAGGTTTGCAAGGTTTTAAGGCTTAGAGCTGTGGCACTCCATCGAGGACTTTCGAGCACTTGACAAGCATATACATTCATCATTGGGTGTGCAAGTGATGGTGCCCAAGTCGCAAGGGCGGTCAAAAATGGGGTGTCTACACTAATGTAGTAGAGTGTGGAGATATATTGGGCCATAGATTATCTAAGGTAAGTGTCTGAGAGACATAGCCTCCAAAGAAGACTATTAATCAACACAAAAGAGAAAAGGAAGCCTAAGGAAGAGTTGACAAGAAGAATCACTGTGAGGCAAAAAAAAAATCTGCAATGACAGCTCAAAACAGGCAAATAAGAAAACAAGATAAAGCAAAAAAAGCTGTGAAATTTCTAGGAAAGAGAAAAGGGAATATAAAAATGGGGTTGGACCAACTCGAAATCTTAAGAAATGAGCAATATTCAAGTCTGCTATTGCAGCAATCTCTTTATCAATGGCAAGCAAATCTGGTAGTGGACAACTACTACTTAATGAGGTAAAAGCATCACTCCAAATAGGGCAAGTTCTGGGCTGAAGTGTAATGGAAATGAAGAGGAGGTGCTAAGCAAATTGATGGAGCTAGAAGCAAAAGACAAAGAGAAAATGATAAAAAAGAGTGGAAAGGCAGATTAATCTGTCCCCTTGGTGTGAGTGAACTTGTTTTCAATGAAGTTATTAGCCAGGAATATTATAGGGCTAGGCAAGCCTATCAAAAGAAGAAAAATCAAAAATATATTTTATGAGAAGAATGTGGATATAGAGCTACATCAAGAAACAAAAAGGTCGATAATCAATGAGGAATTTGTCAGAACATGTTAGCCTGGTGAGAAAATGGAATTTATGGCAGTGGACTCAGAGGGAGCAGCTGGTGGATTACTATGCATCTGGAATCCAGAAGTGTAGACCGCCCAAACTTCTTTTGCGCGCCTCCCTTTTGGAGAGGGCGCGGATTTGGGTTCATGCTACTACAGTTCGGACTCTTGTCACGGTTCTGAATCTAATCTCACAAAGTGCAATGTAAGACTGATAAATCACTAAAGAGACCAAATCCGGCAAATCGTTTTGGAAAATCGATTTTAATCAAAAAGCGCCAAACATGGACTGCTTTGCCAGATTTCAGAGTTGCTACCTAAATATTTTATTTTGAGAAATTTAGAAAACCCTGACTCGTGCCAAAGGCCACGTGTTCGTCATCACCAAAGTTACCTCGGCTTGGAAACTTAGGTACGAGAGAGGAAAGTCCTGAAATGAGCACCCCCACTCGCTCGATCAAAGATCGGCCTCTACTAACATGATATTTTGTTTTTGAAAACACATGTGTCTTATTCTGATTTATTAGCTAACTTACTATGTGATGCGCACAGCATACAAGTATAGACTAAACCACTCGATTTGGAACAAAACATCTCATGTTTGTTTGTGAAAATGGTTTGAAAGTGCTACTCGCAAGTAGGCTAAAGCCCGGATTTGCCACCCTCAAGTGAGCTTAAAACAACATGATTTTGCCACCTCAAGTGGGCCTAAAACTCACATTTGTCGAATTGTCCAAATTCAAGCAATTAAGCCTTCATCCACAGGCATTCATGCAGTTATAGCAGTTAAGCAAATAGCCTCATGGCAAGCATGCTATCATGGCAACACTCACACTCATGCAAGGATGCTAAGGCATAAACACTTACAGTATACTCCGAGCCAAAACAAAAAACTAGTTAGAAACAATGCATGATCCTAACTATGTTAAAATGCCTAATGTGACACATGCAAAAATGCAACTAAGTAGGCTCGGCTATCTAAGATGGTATATGAATGTAACACTTTGATACACGTATTCAAATAGGTATTGAAATACGATGCAGTTTGTATGATGCGCCGAGCCCGGTGCATGCAAGACAAATGAATGATGCACGCATGCAAGCATAAGGTATGCTAATTGAAAATGTCCCTAAACTAACCATCAAAAGCCGATAAGAAAAAGAGAGAAAGAAGTAGGGGTTGGAAGACATGCACACACACATGCACCCTTATTACAACATTGTGCCCTCGCGACGGAGGGTCCAAATGAACAAGCTAAGCTAATCTAACCTAAGCTAATCAACTAATCTAATTAAGCTAATTAGACTAATTATTACAAATCAAATTGAATAACAAGTAAACTACTTACTAATTATTAACAATCAACTAATTAGCACACTAATTAATTAAATTACAAAACCAAATGTACATCAAATAAACAAATAAAATGCTAACTCCACTGCCTCAGCACTGCTTTAAGAAGTTGAACATGCATGCCTTCGGTTTCCGCCCCGAAACGCCTTCCGATTTGCTCTTGAGAGGCTCTGTTTGCAGGGTTACTCCAAGAACTTTCTGCTCCACCTTACCAATACATTGCTGAGGAATGTAGCAGTGCCCTGCCGGCCATGAGTTCTTGCTGCCGGCCATCTACTGGCCAAGAGTGTCTCTCTCTCTTTGTTGATCAATGGCGTTGAACCTTGCCCACCATCTCTCCCCTTTTTCTTCACCACTTCCCATTTAGTTGGAATTTGTGTTTTAGTGTCCTTGACTCTCCACTCATGTTTGAAGGAGGGAGGGTTCAAAGACTTTGGCTTTTGAGGGCACAAATTAGTGGTATGGCCAAAAGTCTTACAACCATCACACCTTTGGGGCTTCCATGGTACCTCAACTTGAATCTCATATGGGTCACCATAACCAAGATTTATTTTGAAAGACTTAGGGATCTCTTTATTTGCTGGCACTTCAATACAAATTCTCGCAAATGTAAGTCTGCTTCTCTTGAAAGTTGGCTCATCCAAATAAAGAGGAGTTCCCAAGATGCTAGCTATGTAACCCAAACCCTCTTCACTCCAAAGTTCCAAAGGAACATTGTACAACTTCACCCACAATGGCACACTTGAAAATTCACACTTTGTTAGTTTTAGTCCAGGTTGCCTTTTTTTAATAACAATCAATCTAGCCCCAACATAATAGGGGCCATCTTCCAAGATTGTGTCCATAGCCTCTTCACTTTTTACTTTAAAAATAAAAAAACCATTGTCAATGGAGACAACGTCCTCAAGCAAATTTCCCCAAAGTTTCTCCGCCCAAGTTTTCACATAATGGAAAGAGAATCTTTTATCAATGAAGTATCCAACCAAAGCATTTTCCCAATGAGAAAAGCCTTTTTTTGAGATCTCAATAGGGACATTGTAAATGCCATCTACTTGGTTCTCAATCTTATGGGCACCTATTTTATACTTCAATTTTGACACCTTGTTAATCTCTTCTTTAATTAAAGAGCTCCCAACTTGTAGAGGTTTACCTGATATAGCAAGTGTATCCAGACCTTCACTACCATCTTCCATATGTAGATCAACCGAATCCTCATTTCGATAAGCTCGCACGGGCTTATCACTCTCTCGTTGCTTGGAACCCATTACTTTTTCCTTTGATCAGCACATCTAATTAAGCTAATTAGACTAATTATTACAAATCAAATTGAAAAACAAGTAAACTACTAACTAATTATTACAACAATCAACTAATTAGCACACTAATTAATTAAATTACAAAACCAAATGTACATCAAATAAACAAATAAAATGCTAACTCCACTGCCTCAACACTGCTTTAAGAAGATGAACATGCATGCCTTCGGTTTTCGCCCCGCAACGCCTTCCGATTTGCTCTTGAGAGGCTCTGTTTGCAGGGTGTCTTTAGGAACTTTCTGCTCCACCTTACCAAACCAACTCTGAAGAATCCACCAGTGGCCTGCTGGCCATGAGAAGCTTCTACCGGCCAATGATGTGCACTGCCGGCCACTGGTGTGCTGCACCATCATTCTGCAACAGAGCACAAACTACAGGAAAATGGTGGGTCTCCCAAGGGTATGTACGTACTATGCCACTCCATATCACCTCAAAACATCAAGGAAGAGGCACCATTGGATCCAAGACCATCAATCAAGCATCTCAATGCATGATGGCCAAAGATCCAACTTGCACAAATTCGATGAATGCACTACAAACAAGACATTAAGACCATGGCCTTATCATAAGTGATCAAAGGCAATGGAGACAAAGGGGATTGGCTCACTTTCATGACTTTGAGTATGAAGCGGGCCAATCCACCTTGTGTTCAACGTAACGTCTGGTTGAACACGATGCAATGCAAACAACATGCTCATCTTGGCATGAAATGCAAGACTCTAACATGCAAACAACGCATGCACAACATGTTAAGAGACTTAAGCATTAAAACTAGTGAAGGATACAACACTAGGACTATGCAATATAATGTTCAATGGACTAAACCAACCCCAAACAGACCTCATGCATGCCAAAATAGTGGCCAAAATGATCTGAAATGATAGCATGAAAGGCAAGAGAATGATGTTCATGCATTGGCTCACAAACAAGGCATAATGCTCAACTCTCAAAAGCATTGAAAGAGTGATAAACATGTGAGTATAACAAGGCTATATGCTTTGAAATTATGTGTTAAATGATGCCATATCACATAAACATCACAAATAAGGCATCCTACAAGACCTAAAGCACAAGGCTAATAAAGAGCACTACACAAGAAGTATGCAATACATAGCCCAAACAACCAAACTAGCTCTAGACAGAGCTCAACCATGCCAAATCAAAGGCTAAAACATGCTGAAATGATAGCCCAAAAGCTTAGACAAGCATGCATACGTATTGGCTCACAAACAAGGCATAAGACACATCTCTCAAAAGCATTGAAAGAGTGGAACATGTGAGAGTGTGACCATGCTATATACACTGAGATCATGTGAGAAATGAGGTTAAGGCATGCAATCATCACATTCAAAGCATGTTAGGGACCTCAAACACAAAGCTAGTGAAGCCCAACTACACTATAGCTATACAAAGCTAAGCATATATGACCAAGACCACTTTAAACAGATGTCAAGCATGTTAAATCAGTGGCAAAAATGTGCTAGAGCAAAGCTAACACATGCTAGAATGATGAACTAAAGCATGAAGCATGTAAGGCCAACAAACATGATTGCACTACAAGTACCAAAAGCAAGCAAGAGGTGACCCAAACACCCAAAAAAAGAGTTAAAGCATGTCAAAACAAAGCCAAAAACATTCTCGATCTAAGTCAAAAAAGAGTAGAAACACATGCTCGTTTGATAGGCCAATAACACAAGCAAACAACACAAGAGGAGAGGGGACCACCCCCTCCCATTTTGGACCTCAAAACCACCTTTCCACCACTAAAATTCCTCTAAGTTTCGGTGGTAGAAAGGCCATGCAAAGGCTATTACAAAAGCTTTAAAGGATGACTTAAAAGCTTAACAAATAAGCAAAGAAATAGGGTAGACCATCCCTAACTCCAACAAGGACTCAAACCAACATTTTTAACACTTAAAATTAAAGCTTTTTGTAGTTAACAACCAAGCCTAAAACAGCATGCAATGATGGCTAACATGGTATACAAAAATAAGCTTAAAAGGGAAACGTGCTCACCCTTGAAGCACAGCAGCAAGGCAGGTCTTCCTCTGAGCCAAAACCGGCCTTTTGAGTTCCAAACAAACCTTCAAAAACCTCAGCTCCAAGATAGTGGTGTTTGACTAGGTGTTCCTTTGCAAAATTGTGAAGAAAACACACTTTAAGGCACTGTTAAGCACAATATAGAGAGAGAGGGTGAGAATTCTAGAGAGAAAGAGAGAGATTTTGTCTCTAAATTTTCTGAACCTCAGGATAGGGAGAGGGGCCTCCCCTTATATAAGCAATGCAAGTAAAAGCTTTCTTGACATGCTTAAACTTGCCTCCATCCCTCCATACACGTGTATGGAGGATGGCTCAGTGAGCTACAGCTGGCTCAAAAGATCTAAAATAATATTTGTTGAAACATGGTGGCCGGCCGGCCATCAGTGGTGGCCAGCAGTGCCTCATTGATGGCCGACAGGCCTCATCAATGGCCGACAGGGCTAAATTGATGGCCGACAATGCCAAAAAAAGGCCGGCAGTGCACCATAAGAATCATGCTGAAAGGACCAACACATGGTCCAAAAATGGAGCAGAAAGGACACAGGGTTTCGAAAGCTCAAACCTGTGACGTTCCACCGCGAAATTTGAGTACTCGACGAGCAATCAAACTTGTCATTGGATGTACCTGCAAGTATATCCAAGTCTTGAGGACGATCAAAAATAGGGTGTCTACAGTTGCCTCTCTTCGACAGAACTCGGAAGCCACAAAGTGACGGGAGTGAATGTCAAAGCCTAGAGACGACCCATTTTTGACAAGGCCAAAGACTCAGGCAAACATTCAATATAACCATACAGAGATGCGCCCGCAGGCCAGGGCAAAATGAAAATGACATGCATGATGCAAGAGCATAACTTATGATTATGCAAAGAAAGCTGTGTTGAAGCATTTAGGTAAAATAAATACAACAATTTAAGCAAATCGACAAGTTGCAAAAGTCTCACACATTTCAACAGAAAGGATGTAAGAAAATTATGCAAGCTTCACTACGCATCACGCAAGGAAGGCCAAAAGTGACTACCAGGGAACACCTAAAGTCTCAAACGAAACACCTCTTAGCGTATCACACGTAATAGAGGGAAGGCAACATATCTCAGCGTATCACACGCGAGAGAGGGAAAGGCAACACCTCTCAGCGTATCACACGCAAGAAAGGGAAAGGCAACACCTCTCAGCATATCACACGCGAGAGAGAGAAAGGCAACACCTCTCAGCGTATCACACGCGAGAGAGAGAGAAAGGCAACACCTCTCAGCATATCACACTCGAGAGAGGAAAAAACAACACCTCTCAGCGTATCACACACAAGAGAGGGAAGGTAAACACCTCTCAGCATATCACACATGAGAGAGGGAAAGGCAAACACCTCTCAGCGTATCACACGCGAGAGAGGGAAGGGCAACACCTCTCAGCGTATCACACGCAAGAGAGGGAAGGTAAACACCTCTCAGCGTATCACACGTAAGAGAGGGAAAGGCAAACACCTCTCAGCGTATCACACGCGAGAGAGGGAAGGGCAACACCTCTCAACGTATCACACGCGAGAGAGGGAAGGTAAACACCTAAGAGTGGTATAAACATCAAAACATGTTCCAATGTTTCTAATCAAAGCAAAGAGGTATAAGCGTTGGGCACACGGTCCAAACGCTTCTAACAGGGTGTTAGTGTAAACACCAGGCGCACCCGAGTGTTTCTAACCAACGAGGCAAGGGAGAGGAATGGTGTTACCGAAAATTCCTCTGAATGAACTGTACATACAATATCGTGCATGTATGAGAAAGAAACTTGAAAGGTACAATGCAATACAATGCATATCTCATGCGAGACAAAGGATCGCAACACGATGCCAAGGCATTCTCAATGCTCAACATGCAAGAAATGGAACCGCAGCATGTTCTATAAGAGATAATCAACGATGCATATTCAATGCAAGATAATCAACAGTGCATATTCAATGCAAGGTAATCAATGAGGCATATTCAATGCAGAATGCATGCCTTATGCAAACATGGTAATGCATATTCAATGTAACATGGTAATGCATGTTCAATGCAACAATTCAAAATGCATACTCCATGCAACGATGAAAACGATGTTCATTCTATGCAACGACAAAAGCATATGATAGAGACAACTCAAAGGTAACTCCCGATTTACCTCTCGGAGAGTTGCACCATGCTTAAAAGTATACACCTTGTGTGGGTTGAAAGGCGATGACCTTCGCACACTGCGAATGTGATTCTGGGCTTCCGCGGATGCATTCTGAATCAAATTTTGAGCATACCCTGCATTTCTTGGAACCCAAGGACACATATCAAGGTAAAAGAGGCAAGGGGAACTGGTGGAGGCCTGCCGGCCATAAGTGGAAGCTGCTGGCCCCCTGTCGGCCATCAGGGGCCACTGTCGGTCATAAATTAAGGGTTGCCGGCCATCTATGTGCCCCTGCCGGCCATCGATGGCAGATTTGGGCAAAATGGTCCTTTTAGTCGTGGCTCTTTGACAGACATGGTGCAGACGAGCCTAGATCTACTTAGCCTCTACCGGATCCGGGGATATTTTCAATTTGCATTTCATGCCACAAAGTTTTTCTGCTAACACATTAGCACTGCAACTGCTCCACACTTTACTGATTTGACACATTGCACCAAAACACTACAGCGATACACTGCTCCTACACACTGCGCACGACATACATACACTGCAATCATTCACTGTTCACAACAAATACACTGCAATCATTCACTGTTCACAGCAAATCATCTGCAATCATTTACTGTTCACCGCATATATGCCTCGACTAATGCATCTTCATAAATTGCCCTTTTCAGATTCCTTTCGAGATGCCAGCCCCGTCCTACGCCCCAGCAGGAGTAGAGGCAGGACCTTCAGCGCCTTCCCCAGCAGCAGAGAG